CTGAATAATAGCATATAATTTTTAACACTTCATTGTAAGCTTTTTTTATATTAAAAAATATAAATATTTACTAAATATAATACTTGAGTTGGTGGACCACCAAGATAAGTTTCTGGAAATTGTTGTTGCACAAAATTCATAAGATAATCGAATCAATCATACAACTGTTGAAATTTTGCATGCTCTTACTTCATTTTAGCATGTTCTTCCTTTATTTTGGCATGTTCTTGTTCTCTTTTTGCTTCAATTTGCTGGAAACATTGTTGCATAGTTTGCAACTCCTTTCTCAATATCAAAATGTCTTATGAAGATTGACTTGTTGAGAATGTAAATTACTGAAAGCTACGTCCATAGTAGGTAAATGGTGTTGGACCCAATCCAAGGCCTCGGACCCGTCCATGCCTTTCTTTTCTAGCAACTTCTATAAATATTTGATTTTTCAATTGTTTCATGTTGAGAGAACCATCATATGCTACTTCAATCTCAACAGCCATTTTCTCTTTCGCTTTCTCCTATAAATTAGTCATATACAACTATCAAGTTTAATGATTAATTGATAATATGTTAAAAAAAGTAAATATTTACTTTCTGTTAAAAGAGATGTTACAAATTACCATAATTTCTTGTGTTTCAATATTCATGTAAGATCCATATATTTTTTATGTGTGTTAAACAAAAAAGTTTCAGACGTCCAATTTTACTGCCCATCTCAATCTCATATACAAAAACATATGTTATTTGATAAGATACATATCAACTGCAACTTATTCATGCATATCAAGCCTGTTAATCAAGTTCAAAAATTTCAAATAATTTTAATATCATGTATTTATATTTTGGCCTCTTAACAACATAATATTCTTAAATAGAAGCAAACAAACATTTTAGCCTTTCACACATATCGATCATGGCAACCAAATTCAATTATTTGGACAAGTTTAATATCATGGATTGAAGCCATTCAAATTGTTGAAAGCCATCCAAAAGTTTAATTTGTATTTGTGCCTTTTCAAGGCAAAAATAGTCCCAAATAAACATAAACGATAACTTTTTCACCCATATCAACCATAGAAACCAAGGTCAATCAATTAGACAAGTGTAATATCAAGTATTGAAGCTATCCAAACTGTTTAAATAGAACAATAATAACAAATTTATATTTTTACCAAAATAGACGTAAATAATAACTTTTTCGTACATATCATCCGTGTCAACTAACTTTAAAACTTTCGATAAGTTTAATATAATGTATTAAACTATCAAAACTATTAAAACAGAACAATAACTTTTAATTTGCATATTTACCTTTTAACGGCACAAAAAGTTCATTCATTGGAATAAGTTTAAAATCATAAACTTACTCTTTCTTTTTGCTTTCTTACGTTTGATCCACTTGTGTGGCTATATTTCTATTGCTTTCTATTACCAATCCTAATATGTTTTTTTTTCCTGTCATACAAAATAATTGTATGTATAGTAGAAATACAAATATTACCAACTTAAAGCATAAAACACTTTCATTATTTCATTATATTATACAAAGTTATAAATTAGTACCTCTCATTTTCTTGAGAATCAAAATCTAACTAATTGTTCATATTGCCACCTAATCACATTATGGGGTAGATTTTCCATCGTCACCTCTACAGTAGTATTTTGATTGAAATACTTATTCTTCAAATTATGCTTATAATCTTTCCATTTCTTTTCCAATGACTTAAGCACAAATGAAGTTGGTATTTCAAGTACAAATCTCGACTGTAATAATACAAAAAAAAAAGTTTTAATCAATAAACCAAATTTAAAATAATTAATTTTTTTATATGTAATTAATTATACTAATACCTCAATAAAGTTTAAAGCATCGGTCTTAACTTTTGCTGGAACTTTATGCCATATTTCATAATGAATAGGCAATTTCATTCTATTACGAGCAAGCATGCCTAGAAATCCAGCCAACAGTTGAGCCTCTTCACTAGTTGGTTGCCTATCAAAGTTTGCAAACACTACAATACGCTCGTTCGGAGGTAGTGCAAACAATTCTTTCAAAGTTGTCCGACCTCTGGTCCTCCATTGACCATTGTTATCAACTGTAAAAAATAAAAAATAAATTTGTAAAATGGTAATACTTTTATCATTATAATCGAATTCTAAATATAAGGTATATTATACCTTGCATTCAAATTTAAAGCATAATCAATTGATGGGATACTATCTAAACCTGAACCTTCCATATTGCCAGATCTAATATCAGTTAAAAGGTTAGAGTGACTGAATTAGATTCGACAGTACGGTCATTCCCCTCCAAAGGATTCAGTCCATAGCCAATATCAACAGATGTCGCAGAAGGTTCTAAACTAATATCTCTGATTTGTATTCCTTTCAATCTACTCCTCTGTATTATAACTTACCTACCTCATAAAAGTGAATATATAAAAGATATTAGTTTAGAACATATATAAAGACATTTAGAAGTTAAGAAATCATAACCTATGATATATAAAGAACATATTGATTTAATTAAATCAAAAGATAATGTATGATTTACAATACAATAAATATACAATAACGAATGCGACATTAATAACATATAATCATTTACTACATTATGTCTTAAACACTCGAATTACAAAATATAGATGATCCATCATGGTTCATAAATGTCTTCATTAACATTTTTGCTAACTCACTGAGCTTAGGTATCGGAGAAATTTTTATCCAAGTTTTGTTTAGCAACGGGATAACATTCAGTTCCATGTTCAACATCATCTCTTGTATCTAACCCCATATCAAATAAGTCTCTAGGTGTGTTTCGAAGAACAACAAACCAACCCAATTCTTTGGGATCTTAAAAAAAAAAACTTGTTTGACTTGAGATGAAAAAACATAAGGTTCATCGATGGGTTGTTCTCCAATGTGAATTAATCGAAAAAAAATTCACAAGTGTAAATCCATACTGATCTTTCTTAATACCTTTCACACTATTCATATCAACCCAATCACATCAAAATAAGACAACTTTCCACTTGTCATAATAATTCAACTCAATGATGTCATTAATCATGCCATAATAGTCAACATTTTCCTCTAAAGGGTCTGTGTCCTTAGCACTAGCATAGCTAGTAGTTGATGAAGTAACAACAACTCCTGAATTTTGTGTACTTCTAAATCTCTCACGGGATTTAATGTAAAATCAAAATCCATTGATGATGAAACCTTTGTATCATTTCACAATTTTGTTCGGACCTTGTGAAAGACATTTCACCTCTTCACTAACAAGCCTTCCACTTTAAACCTATAAAAGTGGAATAAATATATATGTTATTAATGTTAGTTATATCGTAAACATTATATGTAGATTTCTCATAATGAGAAATATGACATTACTTACAGTTACTCTTAACCATTCATGAAAGTTTTCGGTGAACAAACATTAAAAAAATCTTAGAAAATTCAAATCCAAGATTCAAAGGTTCACATTCAAAAATCTTAGATATTGACATCTAAGAATTCAAAAGTTTGCATTCAAAAACATTTATTTTAAATAAATTTGAACCCTCCAATATGTTGGTAAGGTTATTTTTATTTTATTTAAAAATATTTTTTCCTCTTTTTTCATTTTTTAAAAAATATTTACAAATAAATAAATACATAAATAATCAAATAAATAAAATAAACAAATAAACAAATAAATAAATAGACAATTATGATAAAATACTAATATAACTAGAACTTAAAAAAAAAAAAAGTAAAAAGTAAGTATAAAAAGTTGGGCTGCAATTGATTCCAAAGTAAGTGGGTCTTTCTAATTGTGCTTGCCCACTTCAATTTATTGGTTATTGGAATCAGCTATGATTTGGGTTTCTTATTGGATTGGATCTCCAAATTGGATCAGTCCCCTTTTACTTTTCTTATTTCTTCACCCCCTTATCTTCTTTCTTGTTTCTCTACAAAATAGCTTATAACTTCGCTAGCGCCCCTCACCTATGGTGATTGCTTTTTTTTTTTTTTTTTTCTAATTTAAACAAAAATCAAATAAAAACTTAAAATTATATACCTAAAACTTTTAAAAATTTTGCTGCCAAAACTTTTGGTTGAATACCTCCCTTTTGTGTTTCTTCTTAACTTATTTTTCCAACAAAGAACTTCCAAAAGAAAATCCTAATTATTTAAACCCAAAGTACAAGAAAAAATTATAAAAAAAACTCTTAATTTTTCAACTTTTTTTTACTCTTTTTCTAATCCTAATTGTAATAGGAAAAAAAGTTTTCTTAGTTTGAATTTCCTAATTAACTTCAACCTTAAATTTTTAATCCAAATCCACCTCTCAAACCAATTCTCTTTTATAGTCCTTTTTCAATTAAAACACTTTTAATTCAATAATTAATTAGAATTAAATCCTCTTCAAGTTTTAACAAAATAATTCTTTTTTTAAAAATAATAAATAACTGTAAACTAAATACAATACCAAAAATAAATAAAAAAATTCAAAATCTAATATTAAAATATAAATTGACACCGGACTCAATGGAGTGTTTACAATTAGAACTACCACTAAAATGATAAAAAATTAGTTTATATATATATATATATTTATCAATAATATTTTGTATTTCAATGATTGTTTTATATTTGTAAGTATTCATATTCCAAACACTATTAAAATGAAAAAACAAAAGAAAAACAAAACCACAAAGATGAATCCATAATAAAAGTGAGGAAAAGTATTCAGTATAGCAATCCTGATAACTGGTGATCAGCTGAGGGTTATGCAATCCTGGAATAGTTCCATTCACTTCTGCAAGTGGTATGGTATTACGTGCAGTCGCAGACACCAGAGAGTAATCAAGCTGGAACTGTAACTCCTAAAACTTACAGGGCCCATATCACCGTACATTGGAAATTTGAGCTTTCTCAGGGTGTTGAATCTTGGAGGCAATAGCTTCAACAACGAAATTCCTGAAGAAATTGGACGTTTAAGAAGATTGGAAAGATTACAAATGGCCAATAACTCCATCAGTGGTGAAATTCCTTCCAATTTATCTGGTTGTTCTAAGCTTACAATTGTTTTTATGAAACGCAACCAGCTAACTGGAGAAATACCTGGTTTCCTTGGTCTCTTGTCAAACCTGGAAGTCTTAAGTTTAGCCACCAACAGTTTAACAGGGAGTATCCCACCTTCACCGGGGAACTTATCGTCCCTGAAGAAACTTTTTTTGGCTAAAAATGGTCTGAGTGGGGCGATACCTAAAGCTCTCGGCCAACTGACAAATCTTGCATCTTTCTCTGTGGTGGTAAATTAAATTTTGGTATTGTTCCTGCCTCAATTTTCAATCTGTCTAAGATTAAAGGTTTTGATATTGGCGCAAACAAAATTCAAGGTACTCTTCCTTCTGATTTAGGAATCACTATGCCATATATTGAATTCTTTTCTGTTGCGCAAAACCATTTCACTGGACAATTGCCGGTTTCAAAATCCAATGCCACAAATCTCAGCATAGTTCAAGTTGCAAAAAACAGACTTACAGGAAACTTGCCTTCATTTGAAAAGCTGAAAAACTATTATATTTTTTCTTAGAAATTAACCATTTTGGAAATGGGGGAGCAGGTGACTTAAACTATCTGTGTTCTTTAACCAATACCAACAAACTAAGTTATCTAGACATAGGCGACAATAGTTTTGGAGGGGAATGGCCGAAGTGCATTGGTAATTTGTCCATCACTATTTGGTCTTTAGTATTACAAAATAACAAAATATGGGGAAGAATACCTGATGCGATTGGAAATCTCATCAATTTGGAGGTGCTAGCAGCATCAGGAAATCAGCTATCAGGTTCCATTCCCCCTGTATTGAGAGGCTTCAGAAGCTAAAGATATTTTATGCTAGTAAAAATTACTTTCTCTTTATTCCCTCTTCTATTGGAAATTTGACAATGTTAATCCACCTTACTCTAAATAGTAACAATCTTTGGGACAACATTCCTTCAAGTCTAGGCAAGTGCAAAAATTTGGCGGTATTGGATCTTTCTTATAATAATCTTACTTGATCAATACCCCCTGAAGTAATTGGACTCTCATCATTGTCCATTTATGTAGACTTATCATCCAACTATTTGACTGGAGTGCTTCTGATTGCAGTCGAAAATCCGAAAAATCTAGGTGAATTGTATGTTTCCCAAAACAAGTTATTTGATTTGCTTCCAAACAATCTTGGTAGCTGTATGAGACTGGAGAAGCTGTTCTTAGATGGCAATTTGTTTGAAGGGCCCATTGCATTGTCTTTGGGTTCATTGAGAGGTCTTATGGAATTAGACTTATCTAACAATAATCTTTCCGGTGAGGTGCCAAAATTTCTTGCAAGCTTTGGGTCATTACAGTATTTAAATCTATCTTTCAATGATTTTGAGGGTATGATACCAATTGAAGGAGTCTTTAAGAATGCAACCGCTGCATTCGTTGAGGGAAACAATAAGCTTTGTGGAGGCATCCCTGAGTTACACTTGTCCAAATGTAACACGAAAACATCCATCAAAAGATCAAACACTTCTCTTAAATTAAAAATTGCAATTGGTTTTGTGATTTTAGGAGTGACTTTGGTATTCTCATTTCTCCTCATTTTGCGGTTTAGAAAGAAGAAAGAGCAGCCAACAGCAACTTGTGCAGAAAATTCACTTTTACAGTTATCATACCAAAGCATCCTAAGGGCTGCTACTAGATTCTCCTTGCAAAATTTGGTTGGTTCGGGTAGCTTCGGTTCTGTATACAAAGGAATTCTTGAAGAGAGTGGAGTAGTTATTGCCATTAAGGTGCTTAATCTTCTTACTCATGGAGCTTTCAGGAGTTTCTTAGTTGAATGTGAGGCCTTGAGGAACATTAGACATCGGAATCTTGTCAAGGTATTAACAGCAATTTCAGGTGTTGATTATCAAGGCAATGATTTTAAAGCATTGGTTTATGAGTTCATGGTAAACGGAAGCTTGGAGGACTGGCTGCATCCATCTATCGACATGAATGAACAGGAGACGATGAGAAACCTGAATTTCTTCCAGAGAGTAAATGTGGCAGCAGATGTTGGTCATGCACTGGAGTCTCTGCGCCATCATTGCGATACACCAATTATTCATTGTGACCTCAAGCCAAGCAATATTCTAATTGATGAGGAAATGGTTGGCCATATAAGTGACTTTGGCTTAGCAAAAATCCTTTCTGCTGACAGGTTTAACAATTATACTACTCAGTCAAGCTCCCTCGGATTAAAACTATTGGTTATGCTCCACCAGGTAAGTACATTTTATTCATTTCTTCCATTTTAGTACTTTTCTCTTAGCACAACATAGTTCAAAAGCAAAACACATAATGTGGAAGTAGTTTTTGGTTAACAAAAAATGACTACATTACTTCAAATTAGAATGTAATTTTACATGTTCAAAGCTTGGATGTCAGAGGCTATATATTTTTCCAGGTATCTCTTCTGCAATTATTGCTATAATTTATATAATTTGTGATGAATTTATTGCAGAATATGGGATGGGAAGTGAATTGTCAACCAAAGGTGATGTTTATAGTTATGGCATCCTCGTGCTTGAGATGTTTACAGGGAAAAGGCCAACTAATAAAATGTTCAAAGAAGGTTTCAACCTTCACAACTTTGTTGTGGCAGCTTTGCCTGAATGAGTGATTGAGATTATATATCCCATTCTTCTTCAAGAGAGAGTCAAAGAAGGAAATGACAGACATCTTCAATTCTCGAATTCAATATTTGAAATAGGAGTTATTTGTTTTGCTGAATCTTCAAGTGAACGGATGGACATGAGTGATGTTGTTACCAAACTGTGTTCTATTAGAGACAAGCTTCTTCCAACTCGATTACATCGTGAGGGCCAAACCTTATATGCTGCTCAATCGGCAGGTAAATAATTTTCATTATTCTTAAAAAAAAAAAAAAAACGCAAACCATTGAATGACTTAAGTCACATTTCCACTAATTTTCAAATAAATACTGTGTTCAGATGGTATGAGCAAGTAAATTGTTTTTTGGCTACATTCTGTCGAAGTAAATATGATGGTTCAATTTAGAGATTTCTTTGTTTTCATATGGTTCAGGTATCTGAGGATCCATATCAATGAACTTGAGAGGCTTAAGTGAGGCAAAATACTGCCGGTCCTTTATTTCACATTGTATCTGGTATTTGCAGAAGTAAAACATTCCCAACAAGCACTCAAGTTGGAGAAGAGAAAAATAAAGAGTAAGTTTGTCCACCAATTATTGGTGTATGTAATCTGTATGAATTTTCTTTTGTTGTGGATTATCATCAAAGCAGAATTCAGAATAATGCAAATAAGTTGTTCTGCTACACCTTTTGTGGCTGGTTAATATAAATTTTCTTTTATTTTTTATTTTTTACTTTTTAGAAAAAAATAAAACAATCCAATCAATCCATTTAGTTGAAAAAATAAGCCAAGTAACATTCTCCCTTGATAAGCTAGTTAGATAAAGTGACACCAACGACACCTGGGTGAACAAATTTTATAATATCTACGATGCTACTTGGCTCACAAATATTAATACTATAAATTCAACATTGTCTGTGTGCATGTTGAGATAGAACCATAACTGTTTCCTTGTTCTGAATATCACCACTGCATCAATGTTTAATTCTTCATACCACCATTACCTTCGCCCTTTATCTGTTATTGGCTTTGTTGTTTTCACAGGTGACCTCCCTCTTTCTATAAAACTCAACTTTGTATCGATCAGCTTCCTCGATTTTTTGGTTCAACAACTCCTTCTCCCTCTTCTCCTTCTCCTCCAATCGAATCACATTTTCCCTAAGCAATTACAACAGAAAAAATGCCCGGTATGAGTATCACTGAATCGGATAAAATTTGCAACATCTTACACATTTTCGTTAACAAAACAACAACATTACTCAAAAAATTGAATCTAAATTACGAAAAAGAATTTTATAAATTTGAGGAACTGAGTCGACTGAGTGGTCGCCGAGTTGAGTGAACGAGTTGGAAAACGTTGCATTCTTTTGTTTTTTTCAAGATCTTGTACGGACACGTCAAAGATTTAATTTAAAAAAAAAAAAAAATGTATAGCAATGGAAGTTGGAAGTCTGAAGACTGTCGAAGGAAGGCTAAAATGAAAGGCAATAAGATAACTCTTTATATGGGTTTCATCAATTTATTTGGGCTTGAGTTTTTGGGCCTTTATTTGTGTTTGAATTTATAAGCTAGAGATCCATAAAACTGTAATATAATAAATATATATATGTATATGATTTTCTTGGTTTAATTTATTTATAAAAAAATTTTGTACTCAATATTTCCTTTCTAGTTATCTTATATCCAATTTTTTTTTATAGGAGGTGATAGCTTAAAGATAGATGAAAGAAAATTACAAATAACATAAAAATAAAAAGAAAGAATTAATATTTGAATCTAAGAAGTAATTAACGTTTTTCATATAGATGTTTAACTTCATTGCATATTTTCATTATTTAATAGGTTAATTTTATGAATGACTCTTAAATTTTAATGAAATGTTTAATATAATGTCTGAATTTTAAAAATTTTTAATATAATATTTAAATTATGAATCTGTTAACTAATATAACACTTAAAAGAGTTATTTGATCATCACATTTTATCATTTAAAATAAACTATGTTAGGAGTGAGTACATTGTAATTAATAGACTCATAATTCTTATATTAAAATAAAAAATTTTAAAATTTAAATTACACATTAAATATTTCATTATAATTTTGAATCATTCATGTCATTAACTTTTAATTATTGTGACGTTCCAATCTCAAATCAAGATAAGCTGAAGTTCTACTACGATATTGTGAAGACTCACATCCAACCTGTAAGGTATTGTTCACTTTAAGCCAAAGATTTTACGATTTTGCCTCACAAAAGGCGTCTCATAGATTTTGGATTTAAGCTTTTACATATATAGCATAGCAGATTCTCAAAGCATTACGATGTGGGATTGAGATGTTATAAACTCTTCCCGTTAAAGTTTGACATGTTTGTCAAGCCCAACAAAAAACATACAAAGATCACAAGATCACACCAAATGTTGGTATTCTAGAAGTGGATCCAACTGTGTAGCACTTAGCTCCCATAGAATTTTAGAGATGGCTCACACGGTGAAGTACTTAACTCCCATCCGACTGGTGATCGCTTTGATACCATTTGTGGAGGCCTATACTTAAACTACAAGGTATTATCTGCTTTAACCCAAGGTCTTGTAATACCCAAGCCCAAGTTATTATAACATAATCAATGACCCATCCCATAAGTATCATTAGTAAAATAAATAAATAAATAAAGGAGAAGAAAATAAAAAAAATTATCGACAATTTTTGTCAATAGTTTTCTTTGACAAAAAAAAAGACAAAAACTTGAATAAGCCCTTGAGAAAAAGAAGAGAGGAAGAGGAAGGGCAAATTAATGATTAAGGTAATATTTTACTTAAAACTCTTAGGATTTTCATGTTTTATGCAATTTTCTACAAACCCTAACCTATATTTTTATATCTTTTCAACTTTAAAAAAAATATTCAATGACTTTTTGATGACAATCCGGTGAAATTGTGGGTACCAATGGAAAGGTCTCTTCAAGACCTTTCTAATGGTATGTATGGCATTTCATTTAATTAAGTAATTTAGGAGAATTTAGTATTTCAAGTTTTTGATTTTTTAATTTATGATAATTACTTATATCTAATTTTGAACCATTGGAACTCCTTACTTTGGCGGCTAATTTGGTCGAACTTTAGGTGTTTTTTATAATAAAAAATGTGAAACTTCTAGTGATATAATTGGTTTGTTCAGATGATTTATACGCTAACAGAATTGAAGCTCCAAAGTAGGCTTTATGAATCTGAAACCCAGAAAATCTGAACTGTTTGTGATAATTTGTTAAGTTTTGGTCTTCGAAACTTAGGCTTCTAGAAATTATTTTGCCAAAACAAAGTTCTAGGTTATAGTATTACATCCCTACTTTAAATTCATGCTTTCTTTTTTCATTAGGAACTGTAGGATGTTCAAGTTTTTGTAGCTAAATTTAAGCCAAATGATCATAGAATGTGAAAATTTCAAATTAAAAAATTATCATTTTTAATTATTTTAAAAATATTTCTAGCAAATATTTGATATATTTAGTTATAAATTACTTGAATTTTAGTTATATTATTTTTAATGAATTTTTACTTTGTTAATTTCATGTTATTAGTATTATTAAGGGGCTATTAAATTATATTCAAATTTAGAAAAAAATTATTACTATTAAATGTTAAAAATTAATTATTTGTAAAAATTTATATTGTTGCTGATTTTTTATGTTTTAATCTTTAATTTCATATTTATAATCAATTCTAGGCATTTTGCTATATTAAAAGAAAAGTTGTTTTATATGCTAAAAGAAAATATTTTCCAATAGTTTTGAATTGTCGAAAAGATGGTCACATAACTTAATTTGCTTAGAATGACCAACAAAAGGTTTGCCTCATTAAATTTATATTTTTGGGTTAAATTCTGATTTTTGAATATTTCTTGAATTATTAGGATATTGAGAGAATTGAGTGATTTACTGCTTATGTTTTAGTTTAGCGTATCAGATAAGTGACTTAGTATCCATTCGGTTTTTATATCCCTAAAAATCAGCCTTAAAATATTTAGAGTTGAAATATACAATATATATTTTTTGTCCATTTGTTTTGTAAATTAGGTTGAGCATACAAAATGTATATGATTTCTTTGTTATGAGTTTAGAGTATAATTTGATATTATTTTGATTTTCGAATATGATTTCATAATAATATATTTATATATCCATCATTTGTTGGAATATAAAATTTTTCTTTGGAATGATTATGGAATTTATTTTGTATGGATTATGTTTTGAGAAAATTTATAAATATTGAATTTGTATATGTTGGGTAATCTGAAAATATATTCATCTTATAAGTATGCAGTGTTGTTACATCCTAAATCTTCGGGTTTTGGACTTGACATAAATTGACCTCTTATTTTCATAAAATATATTTTATAAAAAATAATATTTTTATTTTATTTTTTATGTGTGAAGCCCACTTAATATCAAGTTTTAAAAACAATGATGAATACATATATATATATAATTAAATAAATAATAAAATATATTTTATATATAATGGTTTAAGGTAAAGCGTCATAAGCACGCATTTGATCTATCCTCAATTTTTATAAATAAAATCGATTCGAATTGATTCAATATCAATTTTTTTACAATAACACCAATACAAAAATCTAAAAAATTATTAAAAATAAAGAAAACAAAAATGCAAAAAAGAAAAAAGAAGATGAGAGAGCGTCACATGACACTCTTCAGAGAGTTAAACTTTTGATCAAAATGATTAAAATTAATAGCACGAATGTTCACGTCTGATAATTACTTTCTTTGAATTTTCCTACTTAAGTCGAATTATAGTGTTTGTCCTTAAGAAAGTTGATTAAGTCGACTAGAATTATGAAAGTGTAATTATCGTTTTATACTTCTACAAAGTTGAATTATAGTGTTTGTCCTTAAGGAAGTTGATTGAGTCAACTAGAATTATAAAAGTGTAATGATCGTTTTATATTTCTATTATACCAGTTGAATTTTTTAAAATTTATTATTTAATTGAATTCAAGATATTACTTTAAAGAATATTTACATGAACAAAAAAAATATTCATATTACTTTAAATTTTACCTTAAGATAATAAAATCGTATTATTTGTGATATTGAGACATGACATTAGGAATTAAAATATTAGTACTACCACTACAATGATCAAGAATTAGTATTAATATATGTTTATAAATATATTTTGTATTCCAATGATTGTGATATATTTGTAAATAAACCCTAAACTCTATATAAGATGAAAAGAACAAACCAAAAAAATGAAAGTGAAAAAAATCATAGTAAGTATGGCTCAGTTATGCTCAACCCCAAGTAGAGGCTTCCAACTAAAGGAGGGGCCGGCAGCAGATTCTAGCAACTTGACTTTCAAAGTCAGAAAATTTTAACCAATCGTCGGCAGATACTAGAGGACAAAATTAGAGTTACAAAACTTCTCATAAATTGCACTCTAGTTCTTGTTGAAGAACCAAGCACTCTCAAATACAAGCCAATCTCATCAATTAACAAATTGATTCGGGTTGATGGAGCTATCGATCAAGCATTTCAAAGTGTCCAGCTCTTTTTTCTTTGTTTACGTTGAATAAAGGAGAAGAAAATAAAAAAAAATTATCAACAATTTTTGTCAATAGTTTTCTTTGACAAAAAAAAAAAAAAAACAAAAACTTGAATAAGCCCTTGAGAAAAAGAAGAGAGGAAGAGGAAGGGCAAATTAATGATTAAGGTAATATTTTACTTAAAACTCTTAGGATTTTCATGTTTTATGCAATTTTCTACAAACCCTAACTTATATTTTTATATCTTTTCAACTTTAAAAAAAATATTCAATGACTTTTCAATGACAATCTGGTGAAATTGTGGGTACCAATGGAAAGGTCTCTTCAAGACCTTTCTAATGGTATGTATGGCATTTCATTTAATTAAGTAATTTAGGAGAATTTAGTATTTCAAGTTTTTGATTTTTTAATTTATGATAATTACTTATATCTAATTTTGAACCATTGGAACTCCTTACTTTGGCGGTTGATTTGGTCGAACTTTAGGTGTTTTTTATAATAAAAAATGTGAAACTTCTAGTGATATAATTGATTTGTTCAGATGATTTATAGGCTAATAGAATCGAAGCCCCAAAATAGGCTTTATGAATCTGAAACCCAGAAAATCTGAACTGTTTGTGATAATTTGTTAAGTTTTGGTCTTCGAAACTTAGGCTTCTAGAAATTATTTTGCCAAAACAAAGTTCTAGGTTATAGTATTACATCCCTACTTTAAATTCGTGCTTTCTTTTGTCATTAGGAATTGTAGGATGTTCAAGTTTTTGTAGCTAAATTTAAGCCAAATGATCATAGAATGTGAAAATTTCAAATTAAAAAATTAGCATTTTTAATTATTTTAAAAATATTTCTAGCAAATATTTGATATATTTAGTTATAAATTACTTGAATTTTAGTTATATTATTTTTAATGAATTTTTACTTATTTTAATATATTTTTACTTTGTTAATTTCATGTTATTAGTATTATTAAGGGGTTATTAAATTATATTCAAATTTACAAAAAATTATTACTATTAAATGTTAAATATTAATTATTTGTAAAAATTTATATTGCTGCTGATTTTTTATGTTTTAATCTTTAATTTCATATTTATAATCAATTCTAGGCATTTTGCTATATTAAAAGAAAAATTGTTTTATATGCTAAAAGAAAATATTTTCCAATAGTTTTGAATTGTCAAAAAGATGGTCACACAACGTAATTTGCTTAGAATGACCAACAAAAGGTTTGCCTTATTAAATTTATATTTTTGGGTTAAATTCTTATTTTTGAATATTTCTTGAATTATTAGGATATTAAGAGAATTAGTGATTTACTGCTTATATTTTAGTTTAGCGTATCAGATAAGTGACTTAGTATCCATTCGATTTTTATTTCTCTAAAAATCAGCCTTAATATATTTAGAGTTGAAATATACAATATATATTTTTTGTCCGTTTGTTTTGTAAATTAGGTTGAGCATACAAAATGTATATGATTTCTTTGTTATGAGTTTAGAATATAATTTGATATATGATTTTTGAATATGATTTCATAATAATATATTTATATATCCATCATTTGTTGGAATATAAAATTTTGCTTTGGAATGATTATGGAATTTATTTTGTATGGATTATGTTTTGAGAAAATTTATAAATATTGAATTTGTATATGTTGGGTAATCTGAAAATATACCCGTCTTATAACCATGCAGTGTTGTTACATCCTAAATCTTCGGGTTTTGGACTTGACATAAATTGACCTCTTATTTTCATAAAATATATTTTATAAAAAATAATATTTTTATTTTATTTTTTATATGTGAAGCCCACTTAATATCAAGTTTTAAAAACAATGATGAATACATAAATATAATTAAATAAATAATAAAATATATTTTATATATAATGGTTTAAGGTAAAGCGTCATAAGCACGCATTTGATCCATCCCCAATTTTTATAAAAAAAATCGATTCGAATTGATTGAATATCAATTTTTTTACAATAACACCAATACAAAAATCTAAAAAATTATTAAAAATAAAGAAAACAAAATTGGAAAAAAGAAAAAAGGAGATGAGAGAGCGTCACATGACTCTCTTCATAGAGTTAAACTTTTGATCAAAATGATTAAAATTAATAGCACGAATGTTCACGTCTGATAATTACTTTCTTTGAATTTTCCTACTTAAGTGGAATTATAGTGTTTGTCCTTAAGAAAGTTGATTAAGTCGACTAGAATTATGAAAGTGTAATTATCGTTTTATACTTCTACAAAGTTGAATTATAGTGTTTGTCCTTAAGGAAGTTGATTGAGTCAACTAGAATTATAAAAGTGTAATGATCATTTTATATTTCTATTATACCAGTTGAATTTTTTAAAATTTATTATTTAATTGAATTCAAGATATTACTTTAAAGAATATTTACATGAACAAAAAAAATATTCATATTACTTTAAATTTTACCTTAAGATAATAAAATCGTATTATTTGTGATATTGAGACATGACATTAGGAATTAAAATATTAGTGCTACCACTACAATGATCAAGAATTAGTATTAATATATGTTTATAAATATATTTTGTATTCCAATGATTGTGATATATTTGTAAACAAACCCTAAACTCTATATAAGATGAAAAGAACAAACCAAAAAAATGAAAGTGAAAAAAATCATAGTAAGTATGGCTCAGTTATGCTCAACCCCAAGTAGAGGCTTCCAACTAAAGGAGGGGCCGGCAGCAGATTCTAGCAACTTGACTTTCAAAGTCAGAAAATTTTAACCAATCGTCGGCAGATACTAGAGGACAAAATTAGAGTTACAAAACTTCTCATAAATTGCACTCTAGTTCTTGTTGAAGAACCAAGCACTCTCAAATACAAGCCAATCTCATCAATTAACAAATTGATTCGGGTTGATGGAGCTATCGATCAAGCATTTCAAAGTGTCCAGCTCTTTTTTCTTTGTTTACGTTGAAGTTATAATTCTTCTCTCTTGCTTCAACCTGCAGGGTCTTAATTTGCTCGGTTTAGCAACCTCTATAGTTGGTGGAAATGACACAGATCAGCAAGCTTTACTCGAGTTCAAAGCCAAGATAACTGGTGATCAGCTGAGGATTATGCATTCCTGGAATAGTTCCAACCACTTCTGCCAATGGTATGGTGTTACATGCGGTCGCAAACATCAGAGAGTAATCAAGCTGGAATTGCAATCCCAGAAACTAGCGGGGTCTGTATCGCCATACATTGGAAATTTGAGTTTTCTCAGGGTGTTGAATCTTGGAGGCAACAGCTTCAACAACGAAATTCCTCGAGAAATTGGACGTTTAAGAAGATTGGAAATATTAGAATTGTCCAATAACTCCATCAATGGTGAAATTCCTTCCAATTTATCTGGTTGTTCTAAGCTAACATTTGTTCATATGAGAGGCAACCAGCTAACCGGAGAAATACCGGGTTTGCTTGGTCTCTTGTCAAAACTAAAATTTTTAAGTTTTCCCAACAACAGTTTAACAGGGAGTATCCCACCTTCCCTGGGGAACTTATCGTCTCTGGAGACACTTGCTTTGGCTACGAATGGACTAAATGGGGTTATACCTCAATCTCTTGGGCAACTGACAAATCTTTCATTTTTTTCTATAGCAGTAAATGCAATTTCTGGAATTGTTCCTGTCTCAATTTTCAATCTGTCTAAGATTACAGATTTTGATATTGGCGAAAACAAGATTCAAGGTACTCTTCCTTCTGACTTAGGAATCACTATGCCATATATTAAATTCTTTTCGGTCGGGCATAACCAAATCACTGGACAATTTCCTGTTTCAATATCCAATGCCTCAAATCTCGTGATTCTTGAAGTTTCATCAAATCAACTTAATGGAAACTTGCCTTCATTTGAAAAGCTGGATAAACTATCTATATTTGTCATAGGCTATAATTATTTTGGAAATGGAGGAGCAAGTGACTTGAACTTTCTTTGTTCTTTAACCAATACTACAAAACTAGAATATCTAGAGACAAGCCAAAATAATTTTGGAGGGGTATTACCTGAGTGCATTAGTAATTTGTCTATCACTATTTGGTCCTTAGTAATACAAGATAACAAAATATGGGGAAGAATACCATCTGGGATTGGAAATCTCATTAACTTGGAGTTGCTAGATGTATCGCGTAATCTGCTATCAGGTTCCATTCCGCCTGCTATTGGGAGGCTTCAGAAGCTAAAGATATTTTATGCTAATAGAAATTATTTTCTCTCTGCGGCTATTCCCTCTTCTATTGGAAATTTGACAATGTTAATCCAACTTTCTCTAAATTATAACAATCTTCAAGGCAACATTCCTTCAAGTCTTGGTAAGTGCGAAAATTTGGAGGGGTTGGGTCTTTCTCATAACAATCTTACTGGATCAATACCCCCCGAAGTAATTGGACTCTCATCCTTGTCCATTTTTATAGACTTATCATCCAACTATTTAACTGGTGTGCTTCCTGTTGAAGTAGGAAATCTGAAAAATCTAGGTGGTTTGTTTGTTTCTCAAAACAGGTTATCTGGTTTGATTCCAAACAATCTTGCTAGCTGTGTAAGATTGGAGAAGCTGTTCTTAGCTGGCAATTTGTTTGAAGGGCCCATTCCTTCATCTTTGGGTTCATTGAGAGGTCTTATGGAATTAGATTTATCTAACAATAATCTTTCCGGTGAAGTGCCAAAATTTCTTGCAAGCTTTGGGTCATTACAGTATTTAAATCTATCTTTCAATGATTTTGAGGGTATGATACCAATTGAAGGAGTCTTTAAGAATGCAACTGCCACATTCGTTGGGGGAAATAGTAGACTTTGTGGAGGCATTCCCGAGTTACACTTGTCCAGATGCAACTCGAAAGCATCCATCAAAAGATCAAACACTTCTCTCAAATTAAAAATTGTAATTGTTTTTGTGATCTTAGGAGTGACTTTGATATTCTCATTTCTCCTCATTTGGTCGTTTAGAAAGAAGAAAGAGAAGCCAACAACAACTTGTGCAGAAAATTCACTTTTACAGTTATCATACCAAAGCATCCTAAGGGCTACTGATGGATTCTCTTTGCAAAATTTGGTTGGTTCGGGTAGCTTCGGTTCTGTATACAAAGGAATTCTAGAAGAGAAAGGAGTAGTTATTGCCGTTAAGGTGCTTAATCTTCTTACTCATGGAGCTTCCAGGAGTTTCTTAGCTGAATGTGAGGCCTTGAGGAACATTAGACATCGGAATCTTGTCAAGGTATTAACAGCAATTTCAGGTGCCGATTATCAAGGCAATTATTTTAAAGCATTGGTTTATGAGTTCATGGCAAACGGAAGTTTGGAGGATTGGCTGTATCCATCTGTTGGCATGATTGAACAGGAGATGATCAGAAACCTGAATTTCTTCCAAAGAGTAAATGTGGCTGTAGATGTTGCGCATGCACTGGAGTATCTGCACCATCATTGCGATGCACCAATTATTCATTGTGACCTCAAGCCAAGCAATATTCTACTTGATGAGGAAATGGTTGGCCATATAAGTGACTTCGGCTTAGCAAAAATCCTTTCTGCTGACAGGCTTAACAATTCTACTACTCAGTCAACCTCCGTCGGATTAAGAGGAACTATTGGTTATGCTCCACCAGGTAAGTACATTTTATTCATTTCTCCCATTTTAATACTTTTCTCTTAGAACAACATAATTCAAAGGCAAAACATAATGCGGAAGTAGTTTTTGGTTAAACAAAAATGACTACATTACTTCAAATTAGAATGTAATTTTGCATGTTTAAAGCTTGGATGTCAGAGGCTATATCTTTATATTTTTCAAGGTATCTCTTCTGCAATTATTACTATAATTTATATAATTTGTGATGAATTTATTGTAGAATATGGGATGGGAAGTGAGTTGTCAACAAAAGGTGATGTTTATAGCTATGGCATCCTCGTGCTTGAGATGTTTACGGGGAAAAGGCCGACTAATGAAATGTTCAAAGAAGGTTTCAACCTTCACAACTTTGTTGTGGCAGCTTTGCCAGGACGAGTGATTGAGATTATAGATCCCATTCTTCTTGAAGAGCGAGTCAAACAAGGAAATGACAGGCATTTTCAATTCTTGAATTCAATATTTGAAATAGGAGTCACTTGTTCTGCCGAATCCCCAAGTGAGCGGATGGACATGAGTGATGTTGTTACCAAGCTTTGTTCCATTAGAGACAAGCTTCATCCAACTCGATTACATCGTGAGGGCCAAACTTTATATGCTGCTCAATCAGCAGGTAAACAATTTGCATTATTCTTAACAAAATACTCAAACCATTCCATGACTTAAGGCACATTTCTACTACTGTTCAGATAAATACCGTGTTCAAATGATTTGAGCAAGTAAATTGTTTGTTGGTTACATTCTATAGAAGTAAATATGATGGTTTAATTTCATGATTTCTTTGTTTTCATATGCTTCAGGTATCTGAGGAGCCATATCAATGGACTTGAGAGGCTTAAGTGCGGCAAAGTACTGCCAGTCCTTTATTTCACATTGTATCTGGTATTTGCAGAAGTAAAACTTTTCCAACAAGCACTCGAGATGGAGAAGAGAAAAATGAAGAGCGAGTTTGTCCACCTATTATTGGTGTATGTAATTTGTATGAATTTCCTTTTCTTGTGGATTATCATCAAATCAGAGTTCAGAATAATGCAAATAAATTGTTCTGCTACACCTTTTTCGGCTAGTTAATATAATTTTTTATTTTTTATTTAAAAAAAAAAGACAATTAAATCAATCCATTTAGTTGAAAAAATAAGCTAAGTAACATTTCCCCTTGATAAACTAGTTAGATAAAGTGACACCAATATAAATACTACTTAGCTCACAAATATTAATACTAGAAATTCAGCATTGTCTATGCGCATGTTGAGATAGAACCATAACTGTTTCCTTGTTCTGAATATCACCACTGCATCAATGTTTAATTCTTCATACCACCATTACCTTTTTCCTTTCATTCTTTCGTGTCGTAAATTATTGGACAGATCAATGAAAAAAGCTTCATAGGGAATTTCCATAAGACGAAAATTTTAATGTAGAAAGATATAGGACAATCTCGTGCAATAAATCATGTCTCAGAGAACACACTTGCGGAAAACTAAAGGCATAATTGAAGGCACGAGTAAAGATGATGAAAAGCATATAACCAGCTCAAAGCCTCAAAGTTTAAGTAAAGATGATGCAAAGCATAATATCACTATTTCTGCATACAACTTTAGCACCTAGCAAGTCAAGCATAATTAGAAACCAGAATCAGTAAAACAACGTTCTTTCTTTGTTTTGATTCGGATAACTAACAAATTGGTAAAAGCATTAGCATATGGCTTGAAGTGAATAACACCTTCTCCCTTTCTCTATTATTGGCTTTGTTGTTTTCAGAGGTGACCTCCCTCTTTCTATAAAACTCAACTTTGTATTGATATTGTACGGACACGTCAAAGATTTAATTTTTAAAGAAATAAAAATAGCCATGGAAGTTGGAAGTCTGAAGTTTCTGTCTGAAAGAAAGCTAAAATGAAAGGCGAAAAGATAACTCTTTATTTGGGCTTGATTTTTTGGGCCTTTATTTGGGTTTCAATTCATAAGTTAGAGATCCATAAAACTGTGATAAATATATATCTGATTTTGTTGGTTTAATTATTTATAAAAAAATTTTGTACTCAATATTTCCTTTCTAATAATTATCTTATATCCAATTTTTTTTATAGGAGGTCGTAGCTTAAGATAGGTAAAAAAAAATTATAAATAACATAAAAATAAAGGAAAGAATTAAGATTTGAATTTAAGAAGTAATTAACTTTTTCATATAGATGTTTCACTTCATTGCATATTGTCATTATTTAATGGGTTAATTTTATGAATGACTTTTTAATTTTAATGAAATGTTTAATGTGATGTATGAATTTTAAAAATTTTAATGTGATATTTAAATTATGAATCTGCTAATTAATATAATACTTAAGAAGTTATTTATTCATCACATCTTATCATTTAAAATAAAGTATATATTAATTAATAAATTTACAGTTCATATATTGAAATAAAAAATTTTAAATTTTAATTAATACATTAACTGTTTCACTATAGTTTAGAATACTTCATGTCATTAACTTTTAATTAATGCAAACAAGAACGAATTTCTTTGATGTATGAACTCAAACTACCTAATTTCTATGAATATGGATTCAATTTAGAGTTTAGTTATTAAGATTATGACCTTCTGGCTTGAATTCAAAGCAAGACATTGTGAGATATAACTTAAAAGAGATTACAAGGTCCATTGATCACCATTGTTTTTTTTTTTTTTTTAATGAGAATCTCCACCAACCATTAGAACATTGATATTGACACAAGTTGAATGGAATGAAGGTCTTTCAATAAATTTTCAAAGTAAACTGAACATACCACCTATATTGTAGCCTACAAGTGATGTGATCGAAAATTTTAGCTTCTGATCAGTAACTTGTCCAACTAACGAAGAGGCATTCAAGCTCCAATCTAAACAATTAAACTCCAAAACATGTGTGGGGCATTGATTTCAGAATAAAGAATCAGACATCTTCTATTTTATTGGTTTATATTTTCAACTTTCATTTCCATTTTTCTTACCATCAACATCAAATGCTCTTATTATTTGACCCAAAAAACAAAAAATATATACGCATTCTTATCTCTGATGAATGATATTCCATCATTAGATATGGATATGGGGATTTTTTTTCCCTATATTTTGCAGTGAAAGTCAGGGCAGGATCAGAAATATCTGAAACTTGGGACAACAGAATATGTGGATCTGAAGTGATTTACGCCTTGAACACCAAAAGAAAAGAAAATTTCCAACTCATTAATTACTATAGCATCCTTTTGAATGGAGCTAGTTTTAATTGGTAGATGAATGTGATGCAGTTTCACTGCATATAATCATGCGTTTGGATAATTTGGCACTTAAGAAATCCTTAAAAAAAATCTATTCGAATTCTTGGCATTGGAAAATTTTTCTAACTCTTTTAATGCAGTGTCATCTTCAATTAGTCTTTGCAGTCAAATCTGGTTGGTAATTAGCATATGGTTGCCCGTTATGAAACTTGATAATAATAGCCACCAGATAACTGATCTTGAACATGACAGTAACTATTTATTTTGCCAACAGTAGCTTATTGATAGAGTATTGAACTCTTAATTTTAGTGATTCAACAATTGACAGTACTATCTATTCTCTGTTGGCTGGTGGTCCATAGAAGTTCTTATATGTGAAAGTAAATAAAAATATCTCAATTCAACATCTACCTTTGAAATTTTATCGTCTGGAGGAGACACTTTGCCTTAATTTCTTTGAGTATCTATGGCTTCAGTCGAGTCTGGGAACTATACCTTTAGTGGTCTCAAAGAGAAATTCATGTAAGAATATTGGATTTAGCTTCAAGTTCTTAATTTTGTCTAGATTTGATGAATAAAATTCCACCTCTAGTATTTCGGGTTTCATGAATAATAATACACTTTTTCTCGTGCCTATTGCTTAACATTCTTGGATTGAGAATGAGTTTATGTCCAAAGTTGTCTGGTAGGTTATTCAGCTACTTTTAAATCCAGACAAATGAATTTTATAAAGCTTCTGTCTCTATTCATTTCTCGAGAGTAGCTTTTATTCAAGGGGAATTGACCCATAAACCACGCAGACGCAACCATATCTGGTACACAAAGAAATCACAACTTTCTTCTTTTCTTTTTCCACAAAGAAATCACAGCGTAACTAACTATTGTTTCCATGTATATTACAAATAACATACAATTGGGGGGGGGGGGGGGGGGGTCCATAATTTTCACCCTTCATAGATAGAATCCAAACTTTTCCTCTTCTATCATTTTTTTAACAAGAATTTATACCGAGAATTGTTCATAAAGAAATTAAGATGAAAAGAAAAATAGGTGTATTTTCTGAATAGAGTGACTATATGGTCATCAAAGTCCAGGGGAAGGGAAAAAGATTATTAATGTTTAATGTTCCATGAATATGTAGCAGCAATATTATTGTGGGAGATGGCTACCATGGTAAGAAGATAAGATACAGCAAATGTGGAAGAATAAGACAAACGCATCTAATTCAAAATTGGATGTAACAGTTTAATCATGAACACAAGGATTAATTCTTTTGATAATTTTGTTTGCATTTTAATCACTCATGTTTTGATCAAAAGATAGCTTCTTCCCCATCTTTAGATTTTGTCATTTTCAAGAAGTTAAAATTTAATGAATTTCCCTGAGAAGGAATATTATTTCTTTTGTTAAAAAAATCAAACAGATTGAGAAAAGCACTGATTGTCACCAGGTGGTACCATAAATGGAAGAGTTTTTTTTTTTTTTTTTCTTTTGATGAAATAAAATGGAAGAATCCACATGTTTTATGCATGTCCATTCAATTCAGGCTATTTCCATTTTCCAGTTCTAAATAACTGGTTTTAATTTGACCATCATCTTCTGGTATGATCACCAACCATGTTGGAAACTAGAATACTGATAATCAAGTCTAGTAATGGTTCAATCAAGTTAAATTTACTCATGACTACATACACTTACTCTCCAAATTAATGGTCAGTTTGTCAATTTTCATTTCCAGACCAAAATTCCTGAAAATTTTCAAAGGTCAAATGAATTAGGAAAATACTATAAAAAATTGATATAAAATATAGTTCAAAAATATAACAATTATACATCAGTTGAAATAGGTCTATCTATTTATCAATCAAAATCTAGTTTGGCAACGTAGATAGTTGGAGTGACACATACGTAATTATTACTATAAAGTTTTTTTTTTATGTGTTGAAATTGATAGTGAGTTTGGAGTTTGGACAAAAAAAAAAAAAAACAATGAGTTCACACCGTAAAAAATAAGGTCAAGGTAAATGCAAATGCAACAGATCTACTATTTTATTTTCCATTGTCATTATCTAGTTAGATTCCCCACCAAAAAAGAAAAAATGACTTCACAATAAAGAGGTCAGGTCAAGGTCATTGAGTAAATTCAAAGGTCTAACAGATTCTTGTTAACCAGAGTGTTCAGATCTAATTGTCTTTTTCAACCTAATTAAAAGAGGTGACTTTCAGTAATCAATAATATATTGTAATCCTGGATATGAATCATGATGCAAAAAATTAACACTCTTAAATTGAAGTCTTTGATTCTTGGAAGACATAAGGTACAATGCTTTGTTTCACAAGAGGACATTGTCACTTTCCTTAAACATCGGCAGAATTAGATTTCCCATTGATAATTTCCATATTTTATGTTATTTGAATGTTTACATCAATAGATTGACAGACAAGAACCAACTGCCAGGCTTCTGACTTTTTGAATTCAGACATGGTTGAACCTACCCCAAGTTTCTTTTGATGTCAGTTTCTGTTTAAATATACTGCTAGGCTAACCTGCTGCAATTTTTCTTCCTTCCCTGATCCACACTAATCTAGACATTAGAAGGCTATGAATGGAGAGCTCAAAAGCTTGGATGCTGCATATCTTCTTTTTATTTCACCTA